ATATTGTGTGTAAGTTAACTCAGCCAATGATATGTAAGTTATTTTTAGCAGATGATATTTATCATATGGCATCACGTACTGAAGGCTTTATGTAGTAAGAATGAGTGACAGGTAAACTCTGCTTATACTCATCAGAAATTAGTGTTTGATCTTTTTAACAGTGAAGTTTTCAACACAAGCATTTGAAGAAAGGCTTTGATATTGATTGTGGATTTCAAGCTGAAGTGAAAATGTTACTTTCCACCATCATCCATTCTTCCATCCTTTTTCCTTACTCTTCTCTCTGGCATAAACATTATTCTTGTACGGTTCTTCAGGGAACTATACACTAGAAAGACAAAAAAATCCATACATCTTATTTACAGCCTTATCTAATCCTACCCCATGGATAAAGTAAAAAAGATAAATGTTTTTATTCAATAGATTTTAAATTTTGAAGTTTTTGCAAAAACAGCTACAAGACTGTGATGATGTTACATAAGTGTAATGAAAAGATACAGTTTTGGTGTCGTTATTTTGAAATTTTTAACTTTAGGCCATTAAAGTTCTTATTTAAAGATATTTATTAGTTACATGCTTGAAAGATTATTTTAGAAGCTATTTCATCATATTTACCACCCTTCTTTGAGCAAATTATTAGTTTTGACTTTTGCTATGATTGTAATCAGAATCTCTATAATGCAAAATATTTTTGAAGATCTTTCTTGGCTCATAAAATGCCTGCCCCTCTCAAATGGATTGCTGATTATACAAAAAACCTATTTTCTTTTAATGGTCTTTAAAGAAAAGAAAATATCCAGGGGTTGCATTTTATGAACTGTCACTGTTCATCTTGTCCTCTGAATATAAAGTCTTTCCTACCAAATATAGGCACCATCAAACCTTGGAAACAAAGATTGACTAATAATTTGGTGCCATATTAATACTTCTATCACTCACTGCTTTCGCCATCATCCTCAGCCCTGAGGAAGGAGTACTGAAATACCATTTAGTGTGCTTTTTTTGCAATAATCTGCTTTTCAACACATCATCCAAGATGTGCTAGTTAAAACTTAATTGCCCTTTAGAATCATTGTGACATGTCTCCTTCATTCTTTTAACAATAGTAATTTTATGAGCTAGTTTTATTATATGCTCATCATTTTAGGAAGAAAGAAGCTCTCTTAGAATCTGGATTCTTCCTCAAGATAACTTCTCATCAAATCTCAGGAAAGATAACAAATCAAACATTGAGAATTAAATTGATTGAGGCTCATATATGACCTTATTTAAAGCATCAACAGGATAATTAATATTTTTATCCAAAATTATTTTATAATTGTCCCCTAATTTTGCCTACAGTTTAGACTCCAGAATACTTAAGAGAACTGTTTGCAGACAATAGCAACTAGAAGAATATGATGGAGCACTTTGCAAACATGATAATATCAGCTGTTTCTCACTGCAATGCTCCAGGCATGCTAATTAACCATTGATTGTGTTGTTAATTTATTAAATACGCATTTTGAGTACTAGCTGCTGTTTTGCTGGATATTGAGAATATACTCAGCAATGAAAAAGACAACGTATGCCGATATGTGGTAGGGTTGTAAAACTATAAAATCTAAGTAATTAAGATGTGATGAGTAATGAAACAGAAGAAGGTGGCATGGAAACAAGGTAATATGCTAAGCAGTAAATGAGGATGGTCGGCCTTCATTGGAGTTGTTAGGGGAAAAAAAACCTCTCTTCAGAGGGCTCATAGATACAATTCCTAAAGATAAGAATAAGCCAGGTATGTAGAGATCGTTATAGCCAGAGGAAACACCCAAGGGTATAACCCCAGAGCCACAGGAACACTATGGTGATATCAGTCAATTTAAATTTAAATACAAAGTGACTCAATCTGGGCTGAATATATATAATAGGCCATGAAGGAGAAATTGAAGTCTTTTGCTTACTTTTAGAAGGAAAGGAAAATTATTAGGGGTCATGGAGAGTACAAAAAGAAATCATTTAGAGATTTGTATCTTGCCTTTTTAAACACTACTTTGTGTGATACTAGCTGTCAAAATCAGTTCAGGGAAGGCAAAGATCTTGGAGTTGAGAATTGATATAGGCCTTGATGAATGGATGAATTCAGATAGCCCAAAAGGAGGCAGTAAAGGGTGTTTCAAAATGAGAAAAGTATAAATAAAGATGCTAAGGTGGACTGAACTTGAACAGATGCTGGAAACCATGAAGTCTAACAGCTAGAACCAGAATAGTCTTTGAAGGAACAGAAAATGATGGGTCTGACTCTTAGAGGTAGTTGAAAGTTAAGTAGAGCAGTTTTGATGACAGAGAGAGTTAGTATGGTTTGTTGAACAAGGGAGTTGTGTGGTTAAAAAGAGGAAATTGGAATACAGTTGCAGATTATTGGAAAGTAAATGTACCTGGTGGTGAGAACATGGCCTATGCTTATCTCAGAGAATGAACTGTGTATAAGATATTTCAAAAGAATTAACAATGACTGACATTTGGTAACTGAAGGCCAATAAATCAAAAGTCAAAATGCCTGCTCTCAAGTCCAAAAGACTGACCAAACAATATCAGTGGTGGGACTGGGGAAGTTTACCTGAGATATTAAATGATTGATTCTGTATTAGACACGTTACGTTCCAGAAAACGGTAAGACAGTAAGGTATGTGCACACAAGTAGAAGTATAGAACTAGAGCAAAAATGGAAAGCTGAATTTGGGAATGTCAACAGGTTGTCAGAACTGAGGGCTTAGCTTCTTACCTCTTGAATAACATGGTTAAAAGTGTGTGTGTGTATGTGTGTGTTTGAGAGAGAGGGAAATACGAACCCAAGTAAATAGAAGGCACCAAACAGTAGCAGTATAAAACCAAAGAGAAGAAAGAATTCAGGTAGTAAATAGGGAAAGGTCTTGGGGAACAACTATTACATTATCATCATAAAAACTACAACTAGCCTTTTAGAGTGAGTGGTTAATATATGTCCTAAGTTCTGTAAATACAATAACTTATTAATTTTTTTCTACAACCTTGAAAAAAATATGTGCTGTTATTATCTCCATTTGATAGATGAGGAACCATAGGCACAGAGAGATTAAGCAACTTGCCCAAGAAGTAACTGAGATTCAAAAGCAGGCATTGTGCCTTCAAAGCCTGAGCCTGTAATGCTCATGCCATATGCTTATGTCCAAGATGGAGTTTTAATTACATAGTTTAACTCCTATCTTATGTAAGCATCTTGAAAAGGAGTTAATTAGCAGTTTAAAAAGTTGGGAAGAAACCAGAAAGTCAACAGATGGCTTGGGCAGTGATTGGATAAATACTTGCAGCAGGGAACCTGGAATTCTCTGGAATAAGGCAGAGGAAGGGAAGAATGTACCCTTTGATCTTTTTTTTTCTTTCTTCTCTCCTTCCTCCACTATTAGTTGTTGATACAGGAAATTGTCCCCTTTGACAAGAAAACAGCACCTCTTTTTTTTTATAACTCTCTGTATACTGAAACATACGTGTCTTTGTTTATATACAAGGCGTGTCAGTTTATCTACATTGATTGTCAGTTTTATTGAAACTAATTTCTTTCTTAACTTAGATTACCAAATGCGAGTTATATTCTGAAAGAGTAGTGTTTGCGGGGCGGGTAGCCCCAGTGCTGGTGTTACTGGATTACCTGCAGTCTGGGTTTCTCTGTGAGGAGGCTCAGGTCTTAGAGCAGCAGTTGTAGATTCGAGTCCTGCCCTCTGGAGACAACAAACCTGACTTCTTTGACAAGGGCAGGAATGAAGGCTTCTGCACTGACTGAGGAAGGACTTTGCTTTCATTCTCTATGCTCTTCTGGGCTTCTCCAGCCCATCTCACTTCTCCCATGTTTGAGGAGGAGGTAGAAGGAAATAAAAAATTCCCAGCTCACCAGGCTTAGTCACACAGTTTCAAAAAGAAGGGACAAGCCACCTGCTTGGTGCCTCAGCTAAGCTGTTGTAGGGAGAAGGGTAGCAATCCTGCCTTCAATGAATAATCCAGTACTTTCTTTAGACCTAAAATTGTGAATGGATGCCATCTGATTAATCTTCCTAAAACAGTTATGCCCAATCGAATTGGCTGCTTAAAAACTCTATTTTCCTATTTTAATGGAAATAACCTCTTAGCCTTGCATTCATGACTGAGTGATTTTGGCCCATGCTATAGGTGCCCATCCTTGTTTACAATAGTTCCCTGCTTGGTCAGACCAGCTCCCTATTCCTTGTTGATTGTGCAGGTCCACCTGCCTCCATCTGTGCTTAGACTGATCCCTTGGGGATGTCACCTGTACTCCCCACTCCTCCCTCAAGCCTTAATATTACTAGCCCAGTTCAATGCTATATGCACACCTCATCTAAATGCTGTCTCCTGTAGGGCCTTGCTGAATCTATCTGAACACTGGAAGATTTAGTCTCCAGCCTTTCTGCTATCTGTGCTTTAGGCATTTATGTGCATATCTTGTCTTCCCTACCACACTTGTTTTTTCCCATTTAATCTACACTTAATATTGGAGAAAGTTGAAGCTGCACAAGGACAAGATGTACAGATTACTTCTGATAACATGGGTTTTGAAAACTTCCTCTGCACCCTAATAAGTAACTGTGCTCTGAGACAGGGATAGGACCAAATCTTTCAGTTCTCAGTCCGAGATGAGTCCTCATCTTGGTTCTCCCCCTGGAGTGCACATTGAAATCACCTGGATTGCCTGTGACACTTTAAAAAGCCTGGTCCAGGAGTCCCAGACCACAGAATTTCAAATCTAGGGAGTGGGACCCACACATCTGGAGTGTTAAGATCTCCCCATGTGATTCTAATATGCAGCCGAGATTGGAAGCAATTCTTACTTTACTAGATAATTCTATTAATTTAAGAAACATTCATTATTTCAGCTAAATTTAAAACTAAGAAAAGTGATAAATGTGAGATGATAGTATAGCACATTTTGTTTTGCTTGCAACAGTAGCTTACATAACTGTTTAACTTTTCAGATATTTCGAAAGAAAGCAGTGGAACTTGGGGTAAAATTGCTACCTGCATTTCATACTCCCTCTGGAATACCTTGGGCATTGCTGAATTTGAAAAGGTAAAACTCTTCATTTTCAACACCATATTTTAAGGTGAAATATTTGGGATTATGTCCTAGAAAGTACACACTAGATGGATAATAACTTGTATGATGCTGGTGGTGACTGATCCCACTGAGAGTCTTGGGATCTGTCCTTGTGTTAAAAGCTATTAGCTTTTCATTGTTCCATAGTCTCAGATGGGTCCCTGTCATTGTATGGCATGGTCTCAATAGCATTACACAAACCACACATGACCTGAAGTATTCACTCTTTTGTGATGTTGCACCAGTGATGATGTCCTTCTCCATAAACACCAGGAGTATCCTTCTGTCTTTCACAATGTCATGAAAGTGTTTTTTTCCAAGGAAGCAAATTCCTAAGAGCACTTAGTTCAATTAAGCTACTGGAGCTATTGCAGAAATAGAACACTTGAACTAATCAGAGCCCCTAAACGATGAGGGTTTAATTGAGGGTAGGAGTACCTGAGGTTGCTGGCCCACAGCTGTCAGGAGGGAAAGGAGCTAATCCACTGATTCAGACCAGTCCAGCCTTCCCAATGCCTTTGGGTGAGCAAACCTGGTAGGGCACGCCCATGAGAACATGGCTCCTATAAAAAAAAGCCCTGAGCTGAACAGACTTTCTGGTGTTCTCCCAGCGAGCAGTTTGAGTTTTCATGATAGCATAAGTACTTCACTAATAAAAATTATGTGTTAAGCTTCGTTCTTAACTCCTTCCTCGCCATAAATTATCACTAGTATATGGCCCTCTTTGTGATGATAATGATGAGGGCGATGATAGCTATTATGATCACCATAAAATGTGATAGGTTCTTTACACGTAATACCACATGAAATCCGCACCACAGCCCAGTAAAGTCAATACTGTTATCTCCATTTTATTCATTGGGAACTAGAGTTACAGAGAAATTTAAATAATTTGCCTAAATATCATATAGTGAGGAAAAGGAAAAGCTAGAAAATGTACTTAGATGCAAATACATATTGACACATGCATACAAATGAAATGGCTTTAGGAACACCAAGAAGATGGGTAAGGTAGTTTAGCAGGATTAATACACATTTCTTCTTATTTATTATAGTGGCATTCTGTCCTAAAGTTAACCATGAAAAATCATGGAAATTAATCATTGTTTGTTTTCTTTCTCCTTTAATAAAAAAACCTGTGAAACATCATGCTTTATTTTCATTTGTCTGTTGTATATCTGTACCTTGAGATAATTCTCTACCTGTCTGTGAGTGTGTATGTGTGTGTCTGGGGCTGGGGTAAGGGTGTTAAGGTGGAGGAATCGGGAAGAGTTACACCTCTGGGCCATGTTAATCTGAGCTAGCTTTGTTGTATAATGTGATGTCTTGGGATCCTTTTTTCCAGTTAGGGCTCCTAAGGCTTTCTTTGTCAGCTTGCAGATCTTTGCATGTGCTGGAGGGTCTTAAGGCAGGGCTGAGGCTGAGCTTGGCTTGGAGGCAGCTTGGTATTTGTTTGGAGGCCCATGAGTTTTGCATCTGGCTTATGTAGACCTTCTCTATTACTTCCCATATCTTTAAACTTTGTATTTACAGATAGTACTCTGACAAAGATACTTCTCTCTTACCTAAGATCCAGTCACAGAAACACTGTGTACAATTAACTCATTTTTTTTCCCTACCTGCCCTCTGAGAAAACTGTTATGATCATAGCAGTAAACTAAACTAATCGGTTGCCAGGAGCCTGCTTTCAGTTTTTTGTTTTTTACAGCAACTTGAGGTTTGTTTTGGGAGCAGTCATTTAAACTCTACAGGCTTATTTATAAACTGGAAAGCAGGCTACTTCAGTAGTTTGTATGTGAACCTTTTTGGTTCACAGACATTGAGATTCTGATGAAACTGATCCTGTTCTGATAAGATGCACATTCCTGAGCACACTTAATTACACACCATGTCCAAAAGCCAGTAGCACATGGGAGCCCACCTAGGACATGGGAATCCAGGTTTAAAATCCTGGAGTAAGAAATCACTCCAGCCTTTTACCCTAAGATTCTGTGGGGCTAATAATCCTTGTTACTTCCTAGAAAGTAATGAATTTGGATAAAGGCATACTAAAACTAGAGGGGTGTGGACCTGCTTCTTTGTATAAGTTGAATCAGTTACTATAAAATGCTAGTATCATTCAATTAGTTCTGGCCTCTCTTGAAATGATCATAAAAATGGGATTATTCTAACTTTACTTGGTATTTATTTCTACCAGCCAAGTGGATTTTTCCTTGTTGAAATTTATTATTAGTGTACCATGAGGTTTTTTTAAAGGAACACTTACTTATTAATTCTGAATCCTCTATTATTTTTATATCCATGCCCATCAAGAATTCATTAATGGTAGCATTCAAACTTTTTTTGTCACATTTCATTTCACAACATTTCAAAGCTTGTAAGACAATTATATAGGGTAAATAATGCCACTTTCATTTATGGATTGTCTGGTGTTTTCAAGTTCAACTAGAAGAAATTAGGTAATCACTTGGCAGTTGACAGGAACACTTTTGATTTCTTCCTGGCAACTTGCATAATTTTTATTATGTATTTTTTCCACTCTCATTCCCATTTACCAAATAGCAGTCACTTAACCCAAATTCATATAAGCATTGCCAAAATGAGTAGTAATATTTGCACACTGTAACTCCTCCTGAGCCTTTGCCCAATTGTGTATAACATAGCCCAGTCTCTGCTCAGCTGTGAAGCCGGCCTGTCCTCTTAAAATTCTTCCTGTAGAGGAAGAAAATGAACTTCATATTTATCAACAGTCTTACTTTTCATGATGCATTACTGCATTACTAATGTCACCTGCGCTCTGTGTTTTCACAGTAAGGCCAAGAAATAGGTAACAGCTGGCATGGGGTGCCTTTTTTAATTTTTGAAGGCTGTCACCAGCAAGGGTTTCAAAGGAAAGTGGAAAGAATATATCTGGCAAAAATCTTATTGTCTTAATTACCTTCTCAAAAGAAGAGAATGTTTGTAGAAGAATGCCCAGCTGGGGATTAAGGACACTTTTTAGAATAGAAATGTTTCCGTTTTGAAACTCAGCAAGAATTGGGGTGGGAGAGGCACTGAGTGCGTCAGCTGTGATATCATAATTTCTGCTCTTCCCTCTCAACTCTGAAAATCATTATGAACGCCGCCCTTTCCAACATCTGTGTGTTAACACAAGTGTGAACTTACTGGTATTATCTACTCACATTCCTCTAGTACTCAGGTTATTACCTAAAGGTAATTGGTTTATTTTCTCTTTGTCAAAAATAAGCATTTATTTGAGTCTCTGATGGGATGACTGTTCCATTCTGAAAAGACTTTCTACTTCGCTTTATTCAGGAAGATACGAGGCATGCTCATTCCCTCGGGATTCACAACCATGTTGGTAAAACAGTATGTATTTTACTTGTCATTGTACACTCACACGTGTAATTGACAAGTGCAGGTAGTCTGTGCCAAGGAAAGATAGTAAGTGCTCACTGTGTTGAATTTAAAGCAGGGACTGTTTTGAATTGGGGAGATTTATATATTTGGAGCCAAAATACCAATAAGAAAAATTGGATTTCAGTATTTATGCAAGCTGTGAGCCTAAAAAATTTATTCATATGCTACCTTAGCAATTCTGTCCCAAAATCTTTTCAGAAGATTTTTTTTTTTACTTTTCTGCCATATCTATAATAAATTCTTAATTTAAGAGCTGCCTTTTTAAGTTGAAAGCAATTGGAATTGTGACTTCATAGCAAGCAGTGATTTGATAGCCTAGGAGTTCCAGACCGTACGGACTAGACCAGCATGCTTCACCAGTAGTCATAGAGTGAAGACACATAAGTTATGTAATGCCTCAGCAAAATGAAAACTACTGCCTCTCCACCAGATTGGATTTGATATGACTCAATTTCTGTAATGTGAATATGTCAAAGTTTGATGTCTGATCTTGTTACTGCTATTAACAAGAAGCCCTGTGCATTTTTTTCTCCAATTTACAGCAGAAAAGTTATCCTCATGGTTTGTAAAATCAAGCATTTCACCATCTCCACATTTCTAGATATAACTCAAGCCTTGGTGTAGAGTGGATATTAGATTTTCAGTTTTCCAAAGTGTGTTCTTAATTTAAAATAATGCAGTTCATGGTCCCATTACAGCATGGGCGTTCCTAGTAATGATTCTGTCTGTCTTGATCAGTGAGGTAGCATTAGCTGTGCATTGTTTTATCATTGTTTCTCTTGGTGGATTTTCTGAACTGATCCTTGCCTGGTGGCTGTATGAAGTTAGTGGAGCTGTCTGTACAACCCGTGCTTGTATTGTACACCAACAAACAGTGTGCTGGGACTTAACTGATCTCCATTCAGCTTCTCATTCATCAGCAGGATCATGAATGACCCATGACTGTTTTTATTTCCTGCTTTATTTACTGACTATTCTAATTATATGACAAAAATGCATACTGTGTCATTAATTACAATTGAAGTTCTTATTATAATTAAGTTGTAAATCCCTTTACTTTACCTGAATCAGGGCCTCAATTAAGAATAGTATATAGATTAGGGGCCAGGTGTGGTGCCACACATCTGTAATCGCAGCTACATGGGAGGTGGATATTAGGAAGATTGCAGTTTGAGACTAGTCTGGACAAAAAGTTAGCAACACCCCATCTCAACAAAAGAGCCAGGTGTAGTGGTAAATATCTGTAATCCCAGCTACACAGGAGCCATAGGTAGGAAGATGGAGGTCCAAAACTGTCCCGTGCAAAAAAAGAAAATAGAAAAAAGTGAAACCTTATCTGAAAAATAGCTAAAGCAGCCAGGTGCCGGTATCTCATGCCTATAATCATTGATCTTTGGGAGACTGAGATCGGGAGGATCACTGTTTGAGGCCAGACTGGGCAAAATGTTCATGAAACCCCATCTCAACAGAAAAGGCTGGACTTTGTGGCTCACATATGTCATCCCACCTACAGCAGGAAGTAGAAAATAGGATGATCACAGTCCAGGTCAGGC